TGCCAAGACGTCTGCAGGATGGAGAGAGACGAGGAGAGAAAAGCAGGAACATCAAAGCCTGCAGCTGGCTGGGAGACACAGCTGGTATAAGGACTGGGCCAGCACAAGCCAATGGTGAGCGGTGTTTCATTGATGAGAACAACAACACGCAGTTAGAACAGAGCATGAAGAAGCAGAAAATAAACAATGTGGTTCTTAAAAGCTCCTTCACTGATGGTGAAGAGCAAGGCACGCAAACTGTCTCTTCAAGTGTCACACATTTCCATTTGAACTGCAGCTGTTTGATTAATTTGCTTAGGCACTTGAGTCTGAAAATCACTTTACCATGAAGACATTTACACATTAGGGTCGGCTTGTGTGGGCATAAGGCTAATAAAATATGTGCAATATGAATGTATGTAATTACAGACCTTATAAATCTCCAGCCTATCATTACAGTGATGTACTGTGCTTTTTTTCTAATTTATTTCACATACATTTTATTAAAATGTTGGATGTTTATTGTACAGGTGGCCAAAGACGACAGGACATTCAGGCCAAGAACTTACCTTTCACGCATTCTCCTCACAGGTATCACAAGTCTAAATACTCAATTCAGTTTAGATTTGGGGGCAAGAAATGGGCTTTATTTAGGTAAAACAAGTCCTCGAAGCAGGTTAGAATCTGACCCTTAGCATTTTAAGCATATCATTCCCAACTCCCTACTCCAAGATTAAGTACTCTTCTCACTGTCACATCCTCGCAATAAAGGCATAAAGCCCAACAAATGCTATAAAAAAACCTACTTTTGAACAAAATCAAGGCTTACAGCAGCAATTAACCTCAGCACTGCATTCAATACCAGAATCACTGTAGGAGTTAACACCCCAGCTATCATGTTGGCTGTCTGATGACATTCGAGTCGTATCCCCAACTAGTCTAGAGTCTTTTCTGTGGTACACAGTAACGAACAAGTGAATCATCAAAAACACGTATAAGCTATACAGCTCAAGATACATATCACATCACACAATTTCAATAAAACAGCAAGGCGCTTTAACAAAAGTGTAAATTAACTCTCATCAACTGTGTTTGAACCCCAGACCAGAACCAGAGGTACTGGGTCTGAAAACCAACATCTCCCACATTATATGACCACTATGTCATGATTTTCAAAGCAAAGGCTCTGACTCAGTTCCAGGGGTAACGTGTGGAGTTTTGAAAAGTAGGTAATCAGTCCACAAGTATGCTGCTTTGGCAGTCCAATCTAGAAAAGCCAAGGTGTATGGGTAATCAGAATAGCATTGGCATCTGGGAGCCCTGAAAATACTACAGTAGTTGTTCATGTTTTTTTTCCTGTAGTGTAAAGGACAAGCTGAAGAATAGAAGAATAAGAATACATGATTAGGGGCAGAAATCTCTGTCAAATCGGGACTGAGAGTCTAGCAAACCATGTTCTGGTAGTAAAGCTATTCCTTTGATTTAACATTGCTTGTTTTTCTTCTCTTTGAGATGAGAGTGAAAGCAGCTTGCATTGAGACATGTTCCTGCCAGCTGGCTGATAGCCAGCTTGTCGTGGGGACCTGGAAAGACCTCCTATCAAAGAGGGCTGTGAAACAGGGATGTGAGGTCAGCTTGTACGCTGGAGTGACAGTTCACAGGCAGCAGCACTAACAGGATGGGACAGCCAGCATGCAAGCTGTGATGGAGTGTGTCTTTATTAAGTCTGCTATATGTAAGGGCATGTACGGACACAAACAAATAGATGCTCACACACAGCATCAGGTAGCATAAAGCGGTGCTCCGACAGCAGGAACTGGCTCAGTTCCAGGCTCACATCCTGACAGCCACAGGACGTGTCTGATTAATGAACACACACGCTGTCAACACTCATCACAGAGGCAAGCACACATACAGGAATTACTCACAAACACACGAGCACATAGACAAATACACACAAACTTCCAACTTCATCACTGATTCAGTGCACGTTGAGTTTGTAAGCTCCAGTCCACACTCTACTGTTTCCTCGCCAAGGAGAACTCTGTGTTTTCTCATTACACAGAAAAGAAGTGTGGTTTCAAAGGGGCATGAATCAAACTTAAGCAAGACAAAGTACACTGGCAGCGACTGGAAAAATCCTATTACTCAGAATTCAGCCTATATGTTAAATGCAGCCATGTCACGAACCAATCCAGCTCCAATGCATTAAACATAAAGTAACCTCAACTAGTTTGAAAGCATGAGCACTGGTGGTTTAAGGGATACCATAAGCACCCCTGTTGTCTCTCTTTCTCACATGTAAGGACATTTTTTGGGCTGTCCTGGACAGGAGGAGCTCCGTTTTCTTAATTTGAACATTTTGGAACCATTACCTGATAAAAATGGCCAACAACAAGTCATTCTTCAACACCAAGGACGAGGGGCAGGAACATTATTGTTAAAGACACACTTCTTGATTTGGATCAGCAGCTTTCCCAGATGGCAGATTCACGTGAACTGTTGCTTAATCTCCAGAAACTTTCCCAGAAAGTGCTGAAGTTACATTTAAATATTGTCACCATGTCTGATTAATGGAGTTAGGGCATGATTCTAAGAGAGCTGAGATTGAACAAATTCCCTTCATTTGGTTATGAGAATGAATATTTTAAACACAAATGGGAAGCAATTCTCAAAAAATGTTCCCTAGATTTGATCCTATTTCTTATTGAGGAAGCCAGAAGGTGTATTTTAAATGTTTCTAGCCCCATGAAATACCATTTATACTATACGTGTTCAAACGATTCTGAGTGCCAGGATCTGGATCACCAGTGTTTTGGGGTTTTAGGTATTTTGATGCATAAAGTCTACATTACTTTTTATAACAACATGAAAACTGTCATCCCTCTGAAAGTGGCAAGTGGAATCCATTTCCTAGAAGATGTCTGATGACTCTTCCATATTTCTTGTTAGAGAATGAAAAACGTGTAAGAAGTCCTTAAATGACTGTTGGTGCTGGAGCAGCTGGCTCTATGCTTTGGTCCAGGTTGAATGCCACATCCTTTCAACATATTTCACAGCCCCAATAATGTTTAAAGATATAATTCATTCTAATATGGAGAGCATTTTGCCATGATGATATCCCAATTAAACATTTGGGCAGTGATAGAGAATGATAGATGAAATGTATTAAAATGCAATCGTAATGTTGATCATTTGTTTAAGTCCTTTTATGAGAATAGGAGCCAAACTTAGTTCTTGAAAATACGAGTCTTGGCTGCTTGGGTTGTTAATTGGGGACAAAACAAAGAAATTTGTACACATCACTTTGGGCTTTTATGATGGGATATGAATTTGAATATTTCCAGACATTTTATCAGCTAAATCATTACTAAGCTGGTTTAAAAAAAATTATCAGGAGATCAGTGAATAATGAAAAGTATAATTTGTTGCCAGAGATATTTTTTCCAATTTGGAAAAGCTTCTTAAAGTGGAACCTTTAGAACGTTTTGTCTGTCTCTGTGTGCCAGCTCTTTGATTGAGCAACCTATATAGGCAGTGTACACCTATATGGTGTACACTGCCTCTCCTCAAACATCAGCCCCTTCCAACTATATAAACTGACACAGTTCTAAAAATATGATTACATTTGTATAAAATCATCCAGTAAACATAACTTTCAACATTTAAGCAGAATCTTTAAGATGCTAATGATCCTATATGCAACAATATTTTGTTCATCATCATTGTGTTTTCTTAGAACAACCATTGCGTTATGCCACTTCCTAACTATCATGCTAAAACATGTGACCGCATCTATCTTTTTTCAGTGGGTGATGTGGAGAGGTTGTGTGTTCTATAATTACTATGGTGTGTGCGCTCACCATAATGAATGATGTGTTACGTCTGAATTGATGTGGGTGTATGTGAAGTGATTTACCAAGTACTGTCTACAATCTGCTGATTCCCCATCAATTTAACACGTATCAAATGAGCAGCAAACATTTACTGAGTGGCATTTTGTATTTGAATACATGAAATACAGTAGAAAAATACTGGTGCACAGGTTTTGTGGTTTACAAAGACAACCTTTTGCAATGTAATTCCTTGGCCATTCAATCGAGATTCATGGTTATTAATATAGAAAGCTGGCAAGTAATTTTAACCCTGACTCTCTGTCCCTCTTTCACACTCCTTCTTTCACACTCACACTCTCTTTCACAAATGTATAATAAGTTAATTTAGTATAACTACAGTCAATGGACAGATTCCATTACCACTTTGTCAATGTGATGGATAGGAACATCAGAGATGGTAAGATTAGAATTCAGATGAAATGGCTCCAATCGTCAAGGAGCAGAAAAACACATTTCTGTCTAAGGAAAACTTTCAAATCAGGCCCTCGAGTGCAGTTCTATTCACTATTGACTCTGTTGGAAATTGAATTAAATGAGGGAAGGGAGAAACATCTTTTCCTTGTTACCTCAGCATCATGTCTAGAACGACAGACTTTCTGACTTCATAATATGCTTTAATGAAAACAGTAAATGCTACAAGGCTAGGTTTATGGAAGGACGTCGAATGACTTACACTTTTAATAAAGTCTACATTTCATGTCATTTTTTTCAAGAGACTTGTCCTCCTCCTGAAAGTGGTAAATGGATTCAATAATAACCCTGGTAGTAATTGATGTCATATAATGAGTTTGCTTGCGTCTTAATGCCAATCGGGTGGTGCAACTGTAGCTTCTCTTAGCGTTCCATAAAACATACTTGGTAAAAAAAATATTAGCCCCTAAATCTCCCTAATTATCCAATCTATCTGGTTTATCCTACTCATCACTCCTCCACAACATTTTTAAGAAGAGATCTAGGCTAGCTGGTAGCTTGTTTCATTCTTGTATTTCAGCTAAGCTAAGCTCTCTTGTGAAGAAGGCATGCAAAATATCCCCAGAATCCCCAATCAATGAGCCACAACTTAAACTTACATGGTGCATTATTACAGTAAAGTAGAAGAGAAGGTAGAGAAGGTGAATTACTGACCTTGGCAAACAACACCCCCTTTGCTGCGAGTGCATCCTCTCCCCTTCCGTTGGGATAGCACTCGTACCGTGCATCGATGATAGGATAGCGGCTAGCCAGAATCAGCCCACTGTTCAGGAATTTGAACCTTGAGCAACAGCCTTTCCATCCATACCGGCCAACATCACTCAGTACGTAGGGAAAGTAGCGGTGCAACTGTCGTCGCAGTCTAGTTACTGATCCGTGGTCAAACACTTCCTGTAGAGCCAGGAAATCCAAATTGGCAGGGAAAAAGGCAGAGATTTCATGGTCGAACGTCTCATCTCCATGTCGGCGTTTGCGGCCAGGACGCTTTAAGACTGACGTGCGAGGAACATGAGAGAGTGTATTGTTGGAGGATATCCCTATGCCGCCGTCTCCTGCATGGTAGCGGGTGAGGGATTCCCTGGAAGCAGTCATGCTGCCTGTGTCTCCCATTGCCTGCTCACCTGTCCGATGGTTTCCTGTTTCAGTCTCCTCTTCCTGGGGGTCTGGTTCTGGGGCACTGATGCTGATTTTAACCCCTGAGGTGTGAAGTGGGCAATCTGGGGATGGTTTTGGCTGAACTGCTTCCCCATGCATGGGACAGTCATGATGGCTTTGGGCATTCTGAGCCCCATTGGAATGCAAGGGGCAGTCATGAGCCTCCCCTGTAGTGTGGACTGGACATTCTGAGGCACCATTACTGTCTGCAGTATGAAGGGGGCAGTCTTTTGTGGTGTCTGCCCCATCTGAATGAAGGGGGCAGTCAGATGAGCCATGGTCTCCTGCAGAAGAGGAGTGAACTGGGCAATCGATGGCACCTGGGGGATGAATTGGGCACTCTGTGAGGGGTTCAGTTTCTGTGTCTGCTGGGCCATTGGTGGTGTGGGTGTGGTCTGGACGCTGGTCCAGAGAGGAGGTACGACGGAAACCTGTAGCAAGGCTACTAAAGGATACCGCACTAATGAATGAAACAGATAGAAAGAATATGTTTTTAATGATGTAATCACCACAATGAATGCTTAAATTGGTGCTAATACATATGCAGAAGAAGCAATGAAATCAGCTCTCCTCACCTGATAGAAGTGTTGGTAGGTGAGTCAATGTAGATTTTAATCTGAGGCCGACTGGCACCATTGCGGATCCTCTTCCCTACCTCCCGGGCTCTCCTGTGGGTGTCTGACAGGTTGTTGAACCTGGCCAGGGAGTCAGGCAGCAGGCATACATTGGCACTGCAGAAACAGAAGCTTCTTCCCTGTGGCCTCCATTCTCCAATTCCAACACCACCTGGTCCAGCTTGGCCCTCCTCAGCCTGGTGTTTGTCTGGTCTGCAAAAGGTAATCAATAAAATGCAATATCAAGTCAAACAGAAGAGTCAAAAAAAATGTTTTCAGAGCCAAGCTAGAAGTTTCCCCTTGCTTCCAAACAAGCCACAATAAGCTAAGCTAATTACAATTCTACAATGCAGACCACTTTTGTCCAAAGGGGCATACATCTGAGAGTAAGTGCAACACAAGCAAGGATCTAGACAGGAGGAAAATCGTCAGATTAGAATGTTAGATTCAAGTCAGGGTGTGTAGTATTTTTTTTCTTTCAGTCATCATCATCATCAACAGCTTCATTATCAATGTAATCATCATCATATCTTAATCCACACCATCCTCAATGTCATTGTTATCTTCGCATCACGAGCAGTATCCAAATCATTAAGTGCATAGGTGTTCATGACAGAGCTGGGTCTTCAGCGTTTTCTTAAAGGATGGAAGGGATTCAAATGCAGATCAAATGGAGTTTTGTAACTCATTACCCCGGGGACTACAGAAGGGAAGAGTCTAGCTTGTAGCTTAAGGACCTGTTGCAATGGCTAGTAATGTAAGCTAGCTACAGGGCTGTGAATTTGATGTGAGCAGCAGCTATAAGCCAGTGGAGTGTAACATTTAGCTAAATCCTTACAGTGTCTGACTGGCATTTGAAAGACTGTGTATTTCCACAAGACAAAAAGTATGATTTACCCTTGACACAAAACCATAGATTTATTTCAAGGCTAAACAATTTTTCATTCAAAATACTTCAATGAAATAAATGTTCTTCTAACTTAATCTGATTCTATTCTCCTTCTGTTACTGCCCTCTACTTCCTCCCCCAATAAAGATCACAGCTCTTTGACTTTAAACTATAAACATGTGGTGCTACCCATGAAGTTTGACAAACTATTACCACATGTTGTGGCAGCAGCATAATTACTGGATATGAACAAAGGAAACTTCTGTCACATTTATGCAAAAGGATATCTGCTGAGTTTCAGGAATAGACTGCCACTCTTCCACAGCAAACGGAGCCAAGTACAGTATATCATAGTTTTGGTTATGGTGGGTAACCATTTAGAAACTGGTAGAGCGTGGCACATGGCATCCAGACCAATGAGCAGACTATCACTTTAGAAGATAAACACTCCATTTCCTGCTTCTTGAAATCTCCAAATCTGAACAGCAGGCACTGTGGATATATAATGAAGCATGATGCTGAAATAGAATGGGCTGTTTTTCTCCTCCATTTCGGTCAGAAACACATTCTGATGCAAAGTTGAACAGAAAATTGGATTGGTAATAGGCATTTTTTTTCCCATAACACCCAGTATGAAATTCAGGAAAAAGGACCATCAAAGGATAAATTGAGTTGAGTGTTTATCCAATTTGACTGTAAGAGGATTTCATATTGATGACTGATTGCCTCTTTTACATTATGTTTGTTCCAATCATAACTAAATGCTGCATTTTTCTCTTACTTTTATTTTCAATGTAATTCTCAAGGAACCAAAAACAACAACAAATAGATGGCTTATAGTGAAAAAAATAATAGTGAAAAAAAATACTAACCTGCGGTAGGTGTACAGGTAAGGCTGGCGGACTGCCTGCAGGGGAGCCCAGACGATGAAGCCCAGCAGAGCAAAGGGCAGGGAGGCGAAGAAGAGTAGCAGGTACAGAGGTGCAGAGATCAAGACACACAGGGTTAGGAAGGAGCAGGGGTCCTGAGAGCGCTGTCGCTTCTCCAGCGACGTGGGCACACAGGATGCCAGGAGCCGGTCCAGAAGCCAGTAACAAGGAAAAACCAGGCTCCACGACAAGCCATCCAGAAAGTGCAGACAGGCACCGGAGTACGGGGTGACGTGGAGGACCATCTCTCCTCTTCTATTTTCTCTCTTTCTTCCTCTCTGTCACTTTCTCCTCACACGTTCTGCAGCCACCCACATACACACTTTAAGCAAGCAAAAACAAATCTGCTACAGAGATCTTATAAATATAAATAAATAGAAAATAAATCTGGCTCAAATGTAGACCCTCCCCCCTTCTTGCAGAGAGGTACACTACATGGTTTGGGTGACTTATGTCTTCACAGATCAGCCTGTCTCAGTCTCAGTGGCCCTTCTCAGCAGTAACAGCCTCTGCAGGGGGAGTGGAGGAGCACAGCGTGGAGGCAGGAGGTTTCCATGATGACAATTTTCCTGTTGGATCTATGATTGCAAGGACTCCAAAGACCACAGGAGGGAGAGACATTGGTATGTCCCCGAGGACCTGGAGAAAGGGAGCAGATCAATAGAGAAAAGGGAGGAAATGGGGAGGAGGTGGGAAGAGAGAGCGGAAGAAACAGAGGAAGCAGATCAGTAATGGACTCTCTCTTATGTTAGCATGCCAGGAGCTAAATGAAGCTTGCAAGTCCCCTTATGTTTTAACATATTGAATATATGTAGCCAATGATGCCGCTATCTTCACAGGCAGAATCAACAGCTGTAGCTTGCCTTTTAGATCAAAGAATCCTGTATTGTGTCTTCCTTTCTTTGTATTTTTTGAAGACATATTTTCAACATTGCCCATTGCTCTTGTGTATCTTACATTTAATTGATTGAGTTAAACAATAAAATGAGGAGAAATGAGTCGCAAAGAACATAAATATTCATTCAAAACCCTGACATTTAATGCTGGTTCAAATCACACACAACAAAGTCTTCACAATAAAAGAAACAAAACGTCCAAGGAACACAATACGTATCATGGTACAAAACATCTCTTTTCTACGTTCATCAAAAGGAGGGCAGTTTTACACTTGTGATAAATTAAGCAATATGAAACATGCATCAATGATAAAAGGCAATGTCATAACATTGTGTTGGACTTTATTTTCTTAATGTAAAATATGGCAATTTGAATAAAATAGCTATTAGGGCTGTCAGCATCAACTAGTTAATCAAAATGAATTAAGGTCTGAAATGTATGCATTCATTTTTCAATCACAATTTATCACATGCTATTTTGTCCATTTAGGCACACCGTAGATAAGCTTCTGCAGTGTCTCCCTCTAGTCACAGTGATGGAAAAGAACGACGCTGCTGCAACTTTGAATGTCTCATTTTACTTAATAAAACATCCAGACAGCTCAGTTGATGAGTCAAAAGTATCATCCACCTTATGACATAAAACATTTGACTTTTTTACTGCTCCTTTTAATAGTTAAAGGTCCCATATTATGCTTTTTCTGGTTTTATATGGTAGTGTGTTTTCCAAGTGTCCTGTGCATGTTTAGGCACATCAATGTGAAAAAAGTCAGCAGAAATGCGGCTTCTCCTACGTCCTCCTGTTAGCTGTAGCATTAGCTGCATGTAACGCTCGGTTCTAGCCCCCCTCGAAAAAAATGTGTCAGTCCGACGTCATTGTCAGTGTGAGATCACTGATCTAAGCCCATTGGCTCGTTGTGGCAAGCCCAGCAGCTCATGTTGCACGCCATTAACTTCTGTAGCACGCCCACAATAGCCTGCCGTAGCACAGTAGTGCTAAGGTGCTAATGTTTAAGCTCCCCTCGGACGGAGCCAGTGGCTGCATTCCAAATATGGTAAAAGAGGCGGCACATTTCCGAGAACCGTGCTGAGCAACTGACCAATAACGACAGAGCGGATCGCCAGACCAATCAGAGCAGACTTGGCCCATATGGGGCTCTGCAGTGGGGGCTCACAGCAGATAGCTGACAGACTCAGAGCGGAGTGGGAGCAAGGAGGAGCAATACATGAAAACAGACACTTTTTTTGGACTTTAGCTATTGTGAACGTACAAAAGTAGGTACATAGATTAAATATACGAACCCCAAAAAGGGCATAATATGGGCTCTTTAATGTTGTAACTTTCAGTCTACCGTAAGGTCTTACTTTATTTCAAAATAAAAGCAGGGTTGAATTCAAACAGAAAGTAAAGCACTCTCAGCTAAAGACAGCACACATTTTCATAATAAAGGCCTAAGAAGTTTTATTTTTAAATGCAAAATAATGGAATTTCAAACATGCGATTAAAAATGTGATTTTATCACGATAAACTGTTGACATTTGGGGATTTATCGCAGCTTAAAAATGTATTGTTTAATAGCCCTATTTTATAAATCTTTCATTATTCCAAGCATGGTGCTTTTATTGCAATTTATGACTGCCTTCCTCCCTTGTAGATTCTAATTAAAAGTGGTCTTTAAAAATTCTTACCATGTGGGTTTGGATGGTAAACCAGTGATCACAGAGCTTTTATATGTTTGTGTTTTGAATGTTTTTTAATAGCTAATGAATATGTAACATTCATTCAATCTTTGAGTGCCTGAGAGGAGAGGAGTGCAGGAGTTCTCTTATTTAATTGATAGAGCATTAGAAACCTCTTTAATTCGGGGCAGGAACTTAGCCTTAAATTTAGAAATCATTCCCAGAAGGACAGGTGGTAAATGTTTAGATAAACGATGACAATCAATACAGCACAAACAGACGCTGTATTAAATATCTTAATGCTTCTTGCCCATAAAAGGCTTAAGGCTTTCATGTCCGTCAAATGCTTCTCAGCGTATTTTTTTTTTACCAACCATCAAATCCACCAGCATGAATAAATAATGAGTAGATGAGTTGGTTCATGTTAACAGCCGGGGGTTTCAGACAGATGCAGAGACTCTGACCTCAGAGTAACCTCAGAAGTCCCACAGGGACCACCAGACAGAAGCAGCACGCTTTTAAGTTAAGGCTGTGTCAAAATCTATCAAAGCACGCAGCCGGGACTCACCATATGTTCACCCATTATGCTAACAAACACACATGTCATGTTAAAAATGCTGTAGATGAAAAGAAACAGCATTTACTCACTTGTACTAGTTTGTTGCCACAATCAAAGAACTGGTATCCAACTCCTAATGGAAGTATAACAGCACCTTCACATTGTCACTAAAACACAAGGCTGACACCCCATCGTTTTAAATGTATTTTACCAGGGTCTGTTTTTCTAGCTTTTCAAGACAAAACACTTTTTAAAAGAAAACCAATGAGTGAGCAATTTGTCACCACAGGCTACCATTAAGGCCCAAAATGAGACTCTTTTGTTTGACATGCTGAGCCTCTGAATAGCACATTATCAGAAGAACAATAATCATCATCTCCGCACTCAGGAATCTTCTTCACTGATCACTGGTAGTTCAAACCAACATGATGGCTCACTGTCCCTCTAAATGGCAGTCTGAGTTGATGTGTTGTGGTCTATATGATTAGCCAGTCTTATAGGTCCCAACCTTTGAATCCACAAACCCTGCAGGTTATTATGGCTTTATTGGGGAGAAGACAGTGGATAGCATTGGAAAGAGTGGGTAATGAGGCATGTGGCAAAGTGGCTGAGTCGAACCCCGACTGCATATATCGGATTATAGCTTTGGTACATGGAGCACCATTATATCTGCTAGGCTATCTGGCGACCATGTTTATGAGTTTATTATTCTCTCTGATATCAAGCAATAACATAATTGACTTTTATCACAGTATATTCAGCATCTGGATGTTCTTCGGACTGAGGTCACGGCCTTAAGTAACTGTATATGTAGAATAGTAAATGAGATTGATTACTGGGTAAAAAGTGCACTTTTCAGAAAGACACTGTGCATAGGCCTACATAGAGGATTGATGAGTCAAAGAAAAGTCAGTGAATTAATGGCAGGAAGCAGCAGACGGCTGCATCCTCACATAAACTCCCTTTCTGCTCTGCTGCCTGGCAATTAAGATGTAAATTGCTGCCTTTCCTCATTAAAAAGGAAAGAATTCACAAGAAAAAAAACAACACATGGTTAATCCAAATAGAATTCATTACTTACACAATATTTATGATGACATTTTTTGATATTGAAAAGCTTTTATTGTCTTTTTGCTGGAGGACATAGTTTACCACATTTCAGTGAAGAGGGTCATCCAAGTGAGGACAGAGAATGCTGCCACTGATAGGAAAGAGAACAAAAACACTACTCTGCTGCTTACAGCATATCAGTCTCTCACAGTGATAAACAAAAGGTTTAAAAAAAGGACACTGTGGTGATTTTATCACCTGACCGTACGCAGGTTTATTTCACCATTTGGAATTTTACTTCAAGTTAATTTATTTAAACTCTTTAGATGCCTCCATGTGCATTGCATTTGATTAGAAAAAAAGAAAGAAGAATCATAACATATTATCTAATTTCCTTCACGGTCTAAAGGACTATGCTCAAATGAAGAATCTGAAAATGTTGTTTTATTAGGAGATGGATAATACCCTGACATCTGTATGCTCATTACAAAGACAGTATTACCAAGCCAGAGCCAGTCCCTGGACTCTCATGCCAGAGACCTAAACCTTGGCAATGTTTCAAAATATGTTTTATAATCATTACAGAATATGTTCTGAAAGATTAAAAAAAAAAACAAGAGATTCCGACCAAACACAGAAACCCTCTGCTCATATCTCTAACTATCGCCAACAAAACAGTACTTCTAAACTGGAAATCCAAGCAGTCATTACACACCAACCACTGGATCAATCTTTTAACAGAATTTATAACAATGGAAAATTGACATCCTCGCAGAGAAGCAATATATCGGCCTTCACGGAAACATGGGACCCATTCCTCAACCTCCTTATTTATAACCCTACCACCACTGGGAACTGATTCCACGCACATCTTCCAAAAATCCATCATTCATTATAACATAAAGTAGCTTTATACTATACTATTATAGCATTAGTATTATTTTATGATTTGTATTTTTCTTTCTATTAATATTTTGCTTCTTTTATAATTAGTAGTAGTACTGTTCAAACCAAGGACCCCCCACCTCACACCCCCACCCCGTCACACTTGCGCTACATAACCCATACATTTCTATTTTTTGTATTTTGTCAATTGTCACTCTGCCACTATTGTTTTCATGTTTTTTTACCAATAAATAATAATAATAATAAAAAAAACAAGTTCTGAAATACTATAAATCATAACGTCTTTACCAATTTGCAAGTTCACAACAGTGCTGCTATGAAGTACCGCCAGCACTCCACTGATAGCGTAATATTGATGTCCCAGTGTGGTATTTCATTTAGCACTTGGAGTTGCTGAGGCATGAGAGGCCTGCCATGTAAACAAACAACAGGAGCTCCACCCAAACACAAAATGTTTTTTTCACCACTTTCCCCCCTCTGTTTCACATCTGTTAAGCTGCAGAGAGTCGCCCCACCATCCCAAGTCTTTTTGTCATACATTGAAGATG